TTTATTAATTTTGTACTTAAAATATTCTAAAAGAAACATAACAATATTGTTTTATGTACTTTCACTTTTCACGTCTAGTATAACTACTCTTTAAGATTAAGTACTGTGTATCTCAAAAACCAGAGCTAATAAAAATTTTTCATTGTTATTTTCGTTTTTATCACCCAAAAATTAGTAGAAATTGGCTAATTTAGTGTAGGAAACATTCAAAAAATATTTTTTTGTTGTGTTGTGAATTATTAGATTGACTGGTACCTCAGCTATACTTGTTTTGTTATAATAGTCAGTTAGTTTGGCGCATGTTTGGCAATACAGTCGATCATCACCTGTTGAAGTAAAGTACAAAGTAAAGAAGTGAGGATTTTTCCAGAAAAAGATTTACAAACACAAGAAGATATATACTGTATGAAATCATCCAATCCAGAGCGGTCAGGAGTATTGATTCTGCTATTGTTTTGTTCACGAAGAGTATTCAACAAGAACCCCAAGAATTCGGAACAATTCTCTTGTCGTCCTAACGAGTATCTTGAGGACTTCAATCCTGGAAATCGGTTGGACCGAAAGATGATACATTCTTACGAAACTGTAGCTGCATGAACAGGTGTTTGAGTTTGGTGAATAAGTAGGAAACATTCTCGTTCTGGTTCATAAGAGAACAAAAACAACTGCTCCTCACCCACAGTCCGGCGGAATGGTCGATTGACATACTCACATCATAAATAACTACCTTCCGATGTGCGAGCAACTTCATCGTCCAGAACCTGTCAAAGGTATCGCTTTCGGCTTTTCCAAACAAAGATTGAACACCTGGATGGCAAGAAAATTTATAGACTTCTGGCAGAATCTTCCAGGATTGACCCACTCCAAGGCGTTTATTCACCTTTCGAAGCTTGATATCAGTTGTTGGACTACAGTAGGGATGAACTATGATGTCTAATAGGCCTTCTAACAGATCACTGTCATTTGAATCATCATATGCAGAGACTCAGACTGTTGGAGGACAGTATGTGTCGCCTCTGTTTGGAAAATGATGAAACAACAGAGCACATACTTTTTCCCTGCCCCGCTGGGGACCGAATCACGTTTTTAGAGTTCGGCAGAACCGTACTCTTACCATCTGATCTGAAAGACAACTCACCATACAAACTAATCAGCTTCGTTTAGAAGCTGGTTTTATTTGGTCGAGTGTGGATAGATGTGAGCTAAAATAAACTTTCGCTGGTTATGGTGCAGGGTCAAATAGACCCACTCACCTAACCTAACCTAACCTCTCGATGTTTGTCTCCAAAAACCAAGTCTGGAATCAATTAGTTCTTTTTTTTTTGTTGGCATACAGGAAGTTCCCAAAATGACGCGTCATTCGACGTCAACGAGTGATAGAGAGAAACAAACATAGCGGCTTTGTTAGTAATTGTTGAATTGTGAGAGATGCTCAATTTATTGAGAAAGAAAACAAAACCAAGATTATGATGTCCGAGATAGCGCCTTCAATAATAATTTGTTGGAATTGTCATACAGCGTGTACGGAGATGAAGGAATTTTGANAAATATTCATAGGGACGTAGTTTGAAACTTCATTTCAGTGACAAGGAATAAAGAATACTTAATGTGGTTGGTTAGCCCTCATGACTGCGTTCATCAAAGATAAAATAGAAGAATAACTATTGTGGTTATGTTTGGTTTACTTTTGAAATGTTTCGCAGACTGAAAGTGAGGTTATATCGTCATATTTTCAAGTGGCGTTGTCGGCTCTGAAACTCTATCGAACGAGCCATAGGGTAACTTTTGGGATATGGATCTCTAAGAAGACCAACTGTGAGCCGCAGTTTGAGGGGCATTTCAGCATCCCAACGGACCCCACTCCTACTGAAAAGCCTAGTTTTACGAGAGAGGGGTGCTAGGTTCGTTGGTTTAGAGGGAAGAATTAGTAGCAGAGTCATCATTGAGGGTGCTATCCCGATTTTTGGAGTGTTTTGAAGGTTTCTGCAGGATATGAATTCACTTTTTTAATTATAGGGGGAACGAGGGGACACATGAGTTACCTGGTGATCTTGTATAGCAGCTGGATGGCATGTTGGTAGAAACATAACTTGAATTTTCATACCATGTCTCTGTATTGTAGGTGGCCATAATTTCAAACAACAAAAACATTGTATCCTCATTTCCGCCTTGACCATGATCGGCATAAATCATGTTTTTCATATTTTGAATAACCCCTTTAGCATTTGTTGCTACTTCATAATCACTGTACAATGGACTTCTTTTCCCGACTATTCGCATATTTGTCTCGAATGGTAACCAAATCTTTACCGGTTTCTTCAATTTGAATGATGCTAAAGCTGCTGCTCCTGCTATCATGGCATTTCTGACGATTTTGGCGCCAAAGGCACCGCCGAGACGTTTTACGGAAACGTTGATTCTGAAAAATTAAAAAATAATGAAAACTAATAGTGTGGGATACTTTTATACCAAATATTGCTTCAGACATAGTAGGGATTGATATTTGATAACAACGAAATTTTAGGGAAAACATATTGATTTTTACTTTTCCATCATGATACAAAACAATGTGGGAAACTACCGAAGAGAGAAACAGAATAATCAACTTTCAGACAGACACTGCAGAAAATATCTATCTGTACTTTCGAGGATATGAACAATGAATTATTCAAAGAGTAAGTTTCATTTACATGGATATCTTCCAAACTCCTGATGGATACATTTGTCATCATCTCCTCATCAGCATCATTTTGACTGACGAGGCACTCATTTCTTTCATATGATTACGAGTGTTTATTACTGGAAGATAATTCTTCGGAAGAGACAATTGTCACGATGACAGTTCGTGGAAACATTCATAGGTTTATTTAATTTATTACGAGCAATAGGAATGAGTGTTATCCCAAAAGATGCTGACGAGAAGTGTTTTTAACCGAAACTTCCAGAGATTCACCTAAGATATATAGTGTTCCAAACGAGTGAGGTTTCATATATTAATTACATTGTGTAGCGTCCCTGCTTCAATTCCGTTTAGAATACAAATACCAACAGGTTATGAGTCCCAGACGTGTGTAAAGCAGCCTAGTATATTCAAACTGAAAATATAGTCTGAAATAACGGAAATTTATGGATTCATAGGACAGTGTAAAAGTTGGATTTGTCGACAATGGATATTTCATTAATATTGATTCGGACAGGAACTTGGAAATAAATTTAGCGTTTATATGACGCTGGGAAAATAATAAATTCGTTATAATGTAGAAATAAGAATTGAAAACTTAATACTTATTATGAATACATGTATGATTTTGACTATTTTATCACTTCAATAGCTTCTTTTTCGGAATCATTATTTGAAAATTACAAAAATTAAAATTTCGAATTTCGGGTGGAATATCGATATGTAGGGTCAAAATCGATTTTTAAGCAACTTTTTCAAATTACTTATTGCGGTTATTGCGGTATCTCCAACACGAAGCAAAATATCGAGAATTTGTTCTTTTCGCGGAAGGTAGGGACTAACGGGACTTTTAGTCAACCACGTTCAAAAAATAAACTTACTCTGTTTCATAAATCGCCAAGCTATCGTCTCTGAATAGAAACTTCGTCAAGACGCTAAAATGAACTACAATAGAAAAGAACTAAAAAATTGGACAATACTTATGAGTAATCTGAGTTTTATAATTCAAAATTCAATATTGATGAAAACATTTTACAAAATTGGCGCATTAATGTTAATAATGTCATAATTTTCAGATATTTGTAACATTATTATCATTATGACATTATCATTGAATTGATTTCTTTTTCATAAGAGCCCATTGAATGAATTCTATACGTGTAATTTTTTCACAACCAGATGTTGCAGTCGGACACAAGACTCGTTTTTCTGTTCAAGCATTTTGATTTTAACGGAAGATTCCATTATGATTATAAAGCCAGCATACACATTCATGTGTTTCTTGATACCTCATCAAATCAAAAGAATGTAAGAACATTCGAAAAATTCAAACTCTTTAAAAAACCGTTCATAGTTAAAACGATGACTTAAAAACAATTATAGTAACTGTTCAAAATTTTTCAATATCCATTTTGTAAGACTTTTTGGAGTCCAAGTCAATTGTCGATTGTCTTGTCGAAATATAAAATTTAAAAACTATGTCCATGAAACATGGAACTCAAAATATATGGAAACGTCTCTCAAAGTGACTACCTGTACCATCGGGGTTATGACGGCACTTCAAAATATTTTCGTTAAAAATATAGAGTATCTTCCTTGTAGACGGCATTACAATATTGAGTTTCCGTATGAAAATGAAACTGCCAATTGACGTCACATTTTCCTTGAATGGTGTGGACGATATCATCTCCTGAAAAATTTAATGAAAAAATGTAGTTTGACTCATTTGGAAAAGTGTTCTTGTTCATATCAAAGTTGTCAGATCATTTTTTTATTGCGAATGTGAGACTGACTGGTTGCAGACAAAGCAACAGAAGAACAGAGACAGCTAGTCATATTTTATCCTAATGTGAGCCATTGGGTCTTAAGAGGAAAACAATATATGGACAACTCAAATTGTGTCCGTGAGAATACAACAAACGTTAACAAGAGACCTGTTAAGACTATTACAAGGAACACGATTGTTGGAATGAATGTCATGAAAAAGATGACAGAAAAACTTGGGAGTTGAGACGCCTATGAATTAAGAAACAGATTTCGAGTGAACCAGTCTAAGCTATATCCATTCAACAAAGTAACCCAAACAAAAATAGATGCGTGATCAAAGTATGTTCACCACGCACATTTGCATCTATTGGCTGAAATAAACAAGCCTCCTTACGATGGCCAGGCCATATTATACGAACATGAATGAATATCGTGCTTTGAAATGCATTTACGATTATTCATTATCAAAAGGAACATTTATGTTATATCTACATACAAACATACAACAGTAGTTCGACGAGTTATCGTGTTTGGGGGACATTGAGTGGTTTTTTCGGCTTACTCACAGATGAATAAAATCATCAGAAATTGAGCTCCGCGAATTCAACACTCGACGAGATTATATTTCCGAATAAATTCGTGGTTGTTCATTCGCGGTCTGGAGCTAGACCTTTTTTTCGTAGTAAATCCGTAGGTTTTTGCATAAGTTTGGCGTTAAAAGATCGATTAAAAAAAATTGTAAATTACATTAATTTATTTCTGTTATTTCCGTACTATATTCAAACATAATTCCGGGGATGAATGATTAAAAAACGAAATTGCACTGTTTCGTTTCGTCGTACATCATATTTACTTCATCATATAGGCCCGAAATTGAGTTTTAAGTGATCGGAACTGAACTGACTTCACTGTTACATTGCGCACTGATTCGATGTATATTGAACGGAGTTTTGTTGTAGACTGGACCGTCTCGTGATTTCGACATCTTATACACATAATGACAGGTGCAAATCCGTTTTATGATTTGCCGGCAATCCAATGTAACGCGAATTTTTTCACACGCGGTTTCTTTCACTACTTGATTCATGGCTCTATTAATTACTACTTCAATCAATATTTCAACATTTGCCGCGTGCATTAACGCCCATCAATACATTTTGAATTTGCCGACACTCGAATTTCTATTTGTTTTATTTTCGAAAAATATGCGAACCGCCAACACGTGTTTTTTCATTAGTGTCATCGGTATGTTATGACTTCGTGTACTTGCATTGTTTTTGCAACCAAGCGTTATCTAACGTTGCACTTAATTGTATCGAATGCAGTCGCTAAATCATCATCCATATACAGTGTGTCTCACTTCTTATGGAAATACCCCCGTATCTTCCGTAATATTCGAGGTAGAACGATGAAACTCTCAGTGGTTCATTACCAAACATTATTTTTCTTATTATTATTTTTGTTTCACACTTGTAAATATGGTATAGAATGCATTTACAATTTATGCGGTCAAATAATTTAAATTGTTGTTTTTTCAAGAACCTAACTTTGATGAAATCCTCCTACTTATTCCTATTATTCCAATTAACTCATGCCGATCCTGTCCTTTTTTTGTTTTCTCGAATCGGTCATTCCGAAATATATTCAACGAGAGGAGCACAGAGACGAAAAACCTTCATCGTGATCGGGTGTAAAAAACTGCAATACATTTACGTCGTGGTGCGAACCCACAAAGTTACATGTGCGATTTTTCCTTGTATAATAAGGAACTTCCACTCCTACAATACATCCTTCTGCCATACTACATCAAACAAGGTGAGTTAACTCATTCATCTTGCAATTGATTTTTTTTATTCGTACTTTTACGCAAAGTTTGAGAACAAAACAAATCTCAGTGGTGAATCTGCGTCCCTATTACATACACCGCTTCAAAAGCGTTCACTCAGGACTGATGGAAATGCTCAAAATTCACCTACCACCTGAATGGAGTTGGTCAAAGTGATATACACTGTCCGCCACTCGCGATGGAACACCCCATTTTTACTGTAAAACATATTAGGGGGCAAATAGACTCGAAATTCCTCCAGATTCGTGATCAGGACTACCAACTTACTACGAATACACTTTTTTCCTGAAAAAATTTCAGTCCTGAAAAATCCGAATTTGTCTCACTTCTTATGGAAACACCCCCGTATCTTCCGTAATATTCGAGGTGGAACGATGAAACTCTCAGGACTGATGGAAATGCTCAAAATGCACCTACCACCTGAATGGGGTTGGCCAAAGTGATATACACTGTCCGCCACTCGCGATGGAACACCCCATTTTTAGGTAAAACATATTACGGCGCAAAATAGTTCGCTTCCAATACCTGAACCCCTTCATTCTATCTGGAGAGTACTCTCAGCTATGAAAGATACAAATGCTTTGAGATGATATCATCCATTTTGAGCCTATCTGAGGAAAATGTCACAGCACCACATTCTCAGATTATCGAGATAGTGTAAAGCAGTGTATGAAAAATTATCGATGACGGCATCTATCATAACTAAAAAAGATTATTCGTAAAACTAATTCTGGTTGCTGAACATCCAAATTCTATCCCAACCAGAAGTGAAAGCTCTCGATTGATGAGCAAAAACTGCAAAAAATGGAAAAAACATATATTCAAAGGTTCACATCTCGAAAACTGTACAATTCTGAGCTTTGGCTGTGGACACTTTCAATCAGCACAATCAGCACCGAAACAACTGTTAATTTTTGAAGAAAAAATCGCACTCGGTGAACAGGTAGAATTTAGATTATTTTTCCTACTCGCTGAATTGTTGTCTGAAATCATTTGAAATCACCATGGAAAACAGTTGCTCATTGATATTTACTGTCAACCTGACAATATTGTCGAAAGATCTTGTTGTATTAACCCCCAGATCATTTTTCATTGCATTTGTTGTTTCTAGTATTGTTGTTCTTTGAATCACCGTTGTTCCTGTGGTTTCTGCCGTGTTTTTGTTCCCATTGTGTTTATTGTTCCTGTATTTGTGTTGGAGATTGTTCCTGTGTTCCATTTGTTTTCTGTTCGTGAGTTCCTGTTCATATTTTAATATTTCTGAAGTTCCCATTTCAACTGATATCAGCTCATTTTGATTGACAAAGTTCAACATGGCACGTCTGTCACTTCAAGCAGAAATTGAAATTGTTTTAATTGTTGGTAAAGGAGTGAGGTCTTATCGTGAAGCGGCCGCTGAATTTAATAGAAGACACCCGCTAGAGGTAGCTGTACACCCTGGAACTGTACATGAAATATATAATCTATTCGTCAGTACCGGCCAAGTAACAAAGGACAGAAAATTGTAAAACATCATATTGATGATGATATGATATTGGCGGCTGATCCTAGAATTAGTTTGAGAAACTTATCGCTTCAACTCAATATGAGCCGCAGTAAAATATGGAGGTGTTCAAAGAGGCATAATATGCATGCGTTCAAAACCAAATTTTTACATACTTTGCACGGCGGATGAAATCCGCCGTATGGAGTATTGTTTATGGATGCAGGGAAATTATCTCAATGACAGTATTTTTTTAAAGTATATCTAATAGAGTGATGAGGCTACCTTTACCACGAATGGTATTGTATCTTCCCAGAACATGAGGTTTTGGGCTGAACAAAATCCAAATTGGGTGGTGAATTGTAGAGACCAAATATCTCAGAAAGTTAATGTGTGGTGTCGTATCCTGAACGAAAATATTATCGGGCCATTTTTNATTGATATTAATTTTTCAGTTATTTCTGACAATTTATCTAGGATTTTTTTTTGTAGCTCTTTCAATATCCCTATCTGAGTATAGTATTTGCCAAGATTCTTTCTTTAGTTCATAGAGCATCTTCTCGTTTAAATAATATTTGTGCTGAACTGTTCTGTTTTCATTTTTGGGTTGTGAGGATTTAATGTATTCTAATTAGATAGCGATGGGAAAATGGATTTGGTGGCGATTGATATGTTAGGACCCTCGGTGCGCAGTAGAGGGGATGTTAGTTGCATACTAGTGGTACCGAATGTGTTTATCAAGTATGTTTCCCTTTTCACCATTAAAAAAGTCACAACGCGAGCCATATAACTTACCCTTATTTTCCGATTAATGGCTGTCCTCAGAGAATACTTTCTGACAACGCTACCCAGTTTGCTTTTCAATCTTAGAAAAACAACCTTGAGGAACTTGGTATCAATTAAGTTTTTGTCTCGGTACGACACCCTTGCACTAATCCATCGGAAAGGTATGTGTGAGAAACTGCCCGGATTCCGGTCGACCTTTCCAAAGTTTTGAGGTTGATGATTTTTCTTCGGCGGTTCGTGCAGAAACGACAAAACTACTCTTACTGTTATTAGACGGCCCATACCGAATTGAAAAAAATATTCGGGATAATACTTATGTTTTGCACAATCAGTATCACAATTGTTTTTAACACACTTTTATTAGCTTCACCCTGGATGCTCATTCCATCCTTCTATGCGTCGATCACGTCGCACACGTCTCTTTCCTACTCACTACCGTAAGTACGTCCCCTAGGGAATACGTAATAGAACTCTTGTATCTGATCTACTTGTACAGAATCCATTTGTCGCCCGGAATCAAGTCTAAAGTTGTCCAAATAGAGAGACTGAGTCCTTACATGGGTCGTGATGTTCCCTCTTGGAATTTTGTTCGGGGCGAACAACTTCATGGAAAGCAGTAGTGTTGTAAATCGTGCCCTGAAGAAAATAACGCCGGCCGCCACTGGTAGCCATTAATCAATTGTGACGCGGCCCAGAGCGAGCCAGTCTGGCGGTTGTTCGATATTCCCGACCGTTCTAGACGTGGCGAGAATAATGCTACCGGTTTCGATGGAATTCCGGCGAATATCGTCCATCCATCTTCGAGGCCGTTCGATTGTCACCTGCACCTGCCACCCGCTACCTGCACACCAATTAATATAGTCAAGTTGAAGTGACAGTGCGGTACACGGAGCGATCTACTAAGGCGATAGACATTTGAATAATAGTTGAAGTTTTAGTTGAAGTGTTTTGTTGTATTAAAAGTGAAATGAAGTTTACTTTGTTGTTCAGTGTAATCAATTATTTTCAAACTCACGGGGAAAAACGTAACAATACTATCTCAAAGTATATACTAACTGCAGTGACAAGTAATAATTATCATCACGAAGAAGGCTCTGATAACAAACTACGCTACCAAAATATATACCGAGCACTCAAAAGCTGCCCTTCGTCTGAAACTCTCCGGTTTTTTTGGTAGCAACTCCAAAAATCGAACGCTCAGTTCACGATTCTACCTACTATCCAGTTCTTCAATTTTTTTTTTCAACTCAACGTTATCGAGACTCCAGCTCAATACTGTCAGAAGAGGCCTCTTTTCGAAAAGAGGAGCCCACATACAAAGTCAAGAATATATTTTTTGGGCCACATGGTTATTTTCATAGAACACCGAATATATGTAGTAGTTGCGGTTAAAATATTCATAAGGACGTAGTTTGAAACTTCATTTCAGTGACAAGGAATAAAGAATACTTAATGTGGTTGGTTAGCCCTCATGACTGCGTTCATCAAAGATAAAATAGAAGAAGAACTATTGTGATTATGTTTGGTTTACTTTTGAAATGTTTCGCAGACTAAAAGTGAGGTTATATCGTCATATTTTCAAGTGGCGTTGTCGGCTCTGAAACTCTATCGAACGAGCCATAGGGTAACTTTTAGGATATGGATCTCTAAGAAGACCAACTGTGAGCCGCAGTTTGAGGGGCATTTCAGCATCCCAACGGACCCCACTCCTACTGAAAAGCCTAGAATTACGAGAGAGGGGTGCTAGGTCCGTTGGTTCAGAGGAAAGAATTAGTAGCAGAGTCATCATTGAGGGTGCTATCCCGATTTTTGGAGTGTTTTGAAGGTTTCTGCAGGATATGAATTAACTTTTTTAATTATAGGGGGATCGAGGGGACACATGAGTTACCTGGTGATCTTGTATAGCAGCTGGATGGCATGTTGGTAGAAACATAACTTGAATTTTCATACCATGTCTCTGTATTGTAGGTGGCCATAATTTCAAACAACAAAAACATTGTATCCTCATTTCCGCCTTGACCATGATCGGCATAAATCATATTTTTCATATTTTGAATAACCCCTTTAGCATTTGTTGCTACTTCATAATCACTGTACAATGGACTTCTTTTCCCGACTATTCGCATATTTGTCTCGAATGGTAACCAAATCTTTACCGGTTTCTTCAATTTGAATGATGCTAAAGCTGCTGCTCCTGCTATCATGGCATTTCTGACGATTTTGGCGCCAAAGGCACCGCCGAGACGTTTTACGGAAACGTTGATTCTGAAAAATTAAAAAATAATGAAAACTAATAGTGTGGGATACTTTTATACCAAATATTGCTTCAGACATAGTAGGGATTGATATTTGATAACAACGAAATTTTAGGGAAAACATATTGATTTTTACTTTTCCATCATGATACAAAACAATGTGGGAAACTACCGAAGAGAGAAACAGAATAATCAACTTTCAGACAGACACTGCAGAAAATATCTATCTGTACTTTCGAGGATATGAACAATGAATTATTCAAAGAGTAAGTTTCATTTACATGGATATCTTCCAAACTCCTGATGGATACATTTGTCATCATCTCCTCATCAGCATCATTTTAAAACATGGAACTCAAAATATATGGAAACGTCTCTCAAAGTGACTACCTGTACCATCGGGGTTATGACGGCACTTCAAAATATTTTCGTTAAAAATGTTTTTTCAATGATTATTTTATGGCACATTTTCGCCCAGGAGAAGCAATAATTATCGTGCGAGAAAATTAAACTCATGGGATGTCATCATGAGTTGGAGAAAATATTTGGTAGGGCTGTTACAACAAAAACTCTTTGTTATCTGTCAAGCTTTCGGCAAATTCATTATTATCGTCAGTACAAAACAGAAAGAAATTTGTTTTATGAAGATATAAATGTGGAACACTTTCTAACGAGAGAATAATAAAGAAACCGGAACAAAAAAAACAGATTTCTTTTAATAAGTCAAATTTTGACGGAGTGTCATATGAGTACAATTTAAACATTCCATTTCTAAAAATATCTTTTTAGTAAGATTGGTTTCCTTATCTAAAATTTGGTTTCCTTATCTAAAATGTCTGTTTTCTCGAAATCGATTCTGTGATCCAACATATTACGAGAACACAGGAAAACCAATCTAACGTTGGTGAGTCATATTTCACAAAATTCTCTTTGGCCTACTTGTTTGTACTGAGTTGCCGAAAACGTACCTGTTGGCAGGAATATTCAGAATTGCAGCAGCTGCAGATTGAGATAAGTCAAGCCACTGAGTGGTGGGGTATAAGTCTAGAGTATCTTCCTTGTAGACGGCATTACAATATTGAGTTTCCGTATGAAAATGAAACTGCCAATTGACGTCACATTTTCCTTGAATGATGTGGACGATATCATCTCCTGAAAAATTTAATGAAAAAATGTAGTTTGACCCATTTGGAAAAGTGTTCTTGTTCATATCAAAGTTGTCAGATCATTTTTTTTATTGCGAATGTGAGACTGACTGGCCATATAATGAAGACTAGCTGCAGACAAAGCAACAGAAGAACAGAGACAGCTAGTCATATTTTATCCTAATGTGAGCCATTGGGTCTTAAGAGGAAAACAATATATGGACAACTCAAATTGTGTCCTTGAGAATACAACAAACGTTAACAAGAGACCTGTTGAGACTATTACAAGGAACACGATTGTCGGAATGAATGTCATGAAAAAGATGACAGAAAAACTTGGGAGTTGAGACGCCTATGAATTAAGAAACAGAGTTCGAGTGAACCAGTCTAAGTAAGGTAATATGCTTCAGGTACATCAATCTTGCTTCTACAATTATAATTGAAGAGGTACTACAGGTATATAAGAATTGTAGAGTTTTAGGTAATTTGATGAAGGAAGTCCCAAGTGTAGTTACCTGTGGTATATAAATATTAGCGTAAGACACAACTTGTAGTATTCAAGTCACTGTTGAAGAAGCTACTGTGTTAGCGAAACATATCACCAATACGTTGTGTATTCTTTTCGGTTTCATAAGAATTCAAAATAACGGAACCATTCGAATCAAAAGTATCGTATTATACAAGTTTTGAGTCAGGATTGTTTACTTATTGAAACCATTCAATATTGATTTGATTCAATTTCAGAATATATTCTCTAATCCGTTTACTTTGGAGAACTTTAGGGGAATGCATTTTTTCACACGCTGAGAGGTAAGACCTCGGTAATCATTATCTCGCACAAGTTTCGACTTTTGAGGGCTGTCGTTCGTAAGCAGAGCCACAACTGATCAAGGAAAAAATCAGATTTTTTAACAGATTGATAAATGTATGTACAAGTCATGGTTTTGAGAATATAGTGTTCTGATGATCTCCACTGATATCATTCATCAGAGAGGGAAAATAAATTCGATTATAAAAAACACAATATTTGTTATAGTTCCTTTAAACAAGTTATTACCGATAGTTGGGGTTTTGCAAAACGTTTTGCGACAATCTCACAATGAACTAAATACGTTCCTCAAATATTGGCAAATTCCATCACAGAAACAAATGATTTTATAAACTACACCTCACGATTTGATTTCCACAAACTTTATTTGAAAAATATATCACGACATGTTTCGCTAACGCAGTAGGCTTTTCAATAGTGATTTGAATACTACAAGTTGCTTTTTATGCTAATATTTATATACCACACATAACTACAATTAGGACTACCTCCATCAAATTACCTAAAACTCTACAATTCTTATATACCTGAGGTACCTCTTCGATTATGATTGATGTAGAAGTAAGGTAATATGCTTCAGGTACATCAATCTTGCTTCTACATCAATCATAATTGAAGAGGTACCACAGGTATATAAGAATTGTAGAGTTTTAGGTAATTTGATGAAGGAAGTCCCAAGTGTAGTTACCCGTGGTATATAAATATTAGCGTAAGACACAACTTGAAGTATTCAAGTCACTGTTGAAGAAGCTACTGTGTTAGCGAAACATGTGATATATTTTTGAAATAAAGTTTGTGGAGATCAAATCGTGATATGTAATTTATGAAATTACTTTGGATCTTCATCAAGTAATGGCCGAATCAATCGGAAAAAAAAACAAATGAGGCTATAGAATCCTGCCTTGTGGCAGCAGTTTTCTTTAAGGTGTCACCTAACACTATTCATCGAACCCAGACGAAATGACTCGTCAACCCCAAAATATTTTTCTGGAAACCAATGATATTCAATTAAGCTTGAAGGAGCTTCAATGATATCAAAATGAAAACTGTTAGATGGATCATGAATGTAAACAGTTTCGAGATTACATTATCGGTATTTAGGGCACGTGGCTTCATAGATTCCAATTATCAATTCAATCCAACAAAATATTATAACTAATATTAATTACCAGTTCTTTCGGGTTCCTTGATTATATCCTGAATTATTCTATCAGTTGCGTTATCTTCCAAGACTTGTCTTATATTGAAATATGGTTTTTCTTTTCCCTTCTCATAGGTTACCGCAACCAGATCTGCTGCTTTCTCAGCTATTTCTCGAGAAGTTGCCACTATTATACCTACTGGCTGGGAATAATATTTAATTATACCATCACAGAATAATTCTTCTTCCACTGGATGCGTGGCAAAAAGGCCTGCTTCGAAGGGAGTGAAGGTATTTTTTCCAGGTATGTCGTTTTTGTCAAAGAAGGCAATGACTCCACACATGTTCTGAAATTAGAGTAAAGTATTTCAGAGTGTGAATATTACTAATTATAAAATAATCCTTCTGATATATTTTTTCTATTTCATGAGGAGAAAGTCATGAAGAGTTTTCATGTAACAAAAGTAATAATGCATTCATACCAGAATGCCCTTGACTACTGAGGTTTCAAGCTTCGTGTTCTTGGTGACTATGTCTACCTCAGGGATGCTTCCTTAGGGAGCATCCCTGAGTGACCGTCATAGCTATTTACAGTACACTTCTCATGTAATGAAGCAGAATCCATCCACCTTCAGGTAGCTGAATTCTCACTGAAAAAATATCTGGTCGGAGCGGAAGCCCATGAAATTTGGTTGTAAGTTGATCAGATTATCGCTTTCGCCAATTTACCGTTTTTAATGTAATTAGTTTTGGAGATATTTTCAATTTGTTTTTTATAGTAGGTACTCACGCATATTTCAGTTTTTTCTGGAAAAAAACTAATTCATCATGAAAAACATAATAAAAATCTCTAATAGATTCAAAATCAATAAAATCTGCTTCCGAAACGTTAAGATAGGTATCTGTATAATTTCTTAGCTCATTTATAATGTTCTTCATTCATTACAATTCTTATATTCTTCAGATTATGGAAGGTGAAAATACCCAAAGAAGGTCGATAAAAAACTGATTTCCTCCACTAAAAACTACTTCCGTTAATTATATTATATAGTTGTTCCTCAAATCACTTCTATCAGTTCCTAAATGATATGGTTATAAAATTGTTTTGTGTGTTCCTAAAAATCATTATAAACCTTTGGGTTGGAATCAATTTCGTTGTGATCATTTCCAGTCTGATTATTAATCATTCTGATATTTTTGGCATCCAGAATAATATGATTCTTCAAATATATAACTTGTGTACTGTACTTACCAGCGCAAATTTTGGGTCAATTTTCACAATCTTAGAATTCGGCGTTGCTTTAGATAGAACAAATGCAGCATGAAGTTGGCCAGGATAATTTGGTATATCAGAGAGATATGCTGCCTCTCCTAAAAATAACTGTCACTATAACGTAAATCAATAAATCATTAAGAGATTTAATACCACTACTATTGGTATTTTTTTGTAAATGAGTAGCAGACTTAATAATCAAGACTATTCACTCAGTTAGGAACACAAAATATTGTTTGCTGTTTCAAACAGCAAACATTTGCTGATTGACAAGTTGTAATTTACAGTCTAACTTTCGGTATTACTTTGCTTCTCTTTTGAACCAGGTCTTTTTACTTAAATATCTTTTGATCCAAATCAGGGCATGGTTCACCTCTAAAATGTGTATAGCAATTTACTATAAAACCGGTCAATGTTTCTTTTCGGACTAGATATGGATCACCAGCTCCGCATTCTAGCCCCAAACCACCTGGATGGGTACCAAAATCTATGGTGCTGCACCAGATCAGGAAGTTAATCAAAAAGAAACAGAGTACTAGAAGAATACATCTGGGAAAGGGACCGCCTAAAAAATAAATTGAAGAACTGCATCGACTACAGGGTTTTTCATTGAACATTGTCAATTAAGAAGACACCTGAGTTTAGTAACTATTTCTTTTGGAGAACTGCGTTTATGTGGAATAAACTTCCTGAGAACATTTTTCCAAATTAACTTGATCTCCAGCGATTCAAATGCAACGTAAATCGCTACTTTCGCATAGGGACTGATCTTATAGAGACCTTAATTATTTTCCTGTAGTGCTTGTGTTTTGTCCTTAAAAAACAGAAGGCAAGCAATTCTTGGATAACCCAAATCATGCCTAGAACAATATAAAATACTTTCAACAAAAGACCTGTACAAACTAGAACAGATGACAAAATGGAATCGGTATCATAAAAAGACGGAAGGAAAATTACAATAAGTTCAGGTATTATAAAAACGTCGAAAAATCATATATCACTTATTATTACTGTATTTTATCATTCTTGATTTTCAGTGTTCATCATTAGGCCGCAACAATGTTGGGATTCTCCCTTTATCTTTGTTATGGGATCCAAGAATTCTTACTTTTTAAGTTAACATCTACACGTTTTTTTAACACACTTTTATTAGCTTCACCTGTATGTATGTATGTTTGTTTGTTTGTCAGTTTGTTTGTTTGTAACTCTCCTTTTCATTTCATATTTATTCCCGTTTAAATGATCGGGATCTGTATTTGACAGATTTATCGACATTATTGCTTGATCTATTCGCGGGCATATGACGCAGTCCGTAACCCCCTTTTGATATAATTCTAACTGTATGTATTTTTTATTTGAAAATAGTATTTTTTTATCAACATGCGCGCCTGCTGCCTTATTTGTAACCCTCCTTTGCGCGCCTGCTGCCTTCCTTGGGCTTGGTAGCTGATTTTCAGGCTCCTTCTCCGAAATCGGAAAATATCAATGGTCACTTTTCTAAACAATATACGGTTGATTGATCCCAAAGTTTAGATAAAATAAATATAGTTTAATAAGTCTGAAAAACACGCTTTTATAGCATACGAAACTAAAAAAATTAAAAATAAATATAGTTTAAAAAACTAAAAAACACGCTTTCATAGAACATCGAAGTTGAAATTTTTTTTTAAATAAGCTTAAACAACAACGAACGAAAACTACTAGTATTATTGTGAAGAAGGCGTGGACGCTTTGTGCCATAGCTTTTGTATATCAAGCACCCCTCGCTTTTTTCACAAGAATACTAGTATTTTTCGTTCGTTATTGTTTTGAGCTTATTTTTAAAAAACATATTTTTAACTTTTTAGTTTGATGTTCTTTAAAAGGGTTTTTTTTAGTTTTTCAAACTATATTCATTTCGTTGTTAACTAGTTTTATGTGTTACAAATTCCTAGATTCCACGATCGATGGTAGGTTAGATGTTTCTGGAAAACGTAAAGCATGATTTTTCTATAAATTTCACCTCTCACATTTCCTTATTTATTCTATCGATCTGAAATATTTTCAGCATTGCGGCGTTGCCACTTCCATCAAAAAGTCCAAGCAACTTTATTTTTTTAAATGGAACACCCCGTATATTAATACATTTTTGGTATCGCTCTGGTATTTTAATACTTTTTTGTTAATAATGTCCTATA